TGTGTGTGTGTGTGTGTGTGTGTGTGTGTGTGTGTACAATATATACATATACTACAAACTATAACAAAAGTTTGAGATCAGTAAGACTTTTAATGTTTTTGAAAGAAGTCTCCTATTCTCATCAAAGACTGCATTTATTTGATCAAAACTAGAAAGAAACAGTAATATTGTGACATATTATTACGACTTAAAAATAGTGTTTTTCTATTTTAATATACTTTAAAATATAATTTATTTCTGTGATGCAAAGCTGAATTCCAAAAAAAAGGTTCCAAAAAATATATATATATATTTTAGAAGCAGCACAACTGTTTCCAACATGATAATCAATCAGTATATTAGAATGATTTCTGAAGGATCATGTGAAGACTGGAGTAACGGCTGATGAAAATTCAGCTTTGATCACAGGAATAAATAATATTTTAAAGTATATTAAAATAGAAAACCATTATTATATTATATATAATATTTTTGATCGAATAAATGCAGCCTTGATGAGCATAAAAAAACTTTTAAAAACATGAAAGATCTTTTTAACGGCACTATATACGAGTATATAAATAGCATGGTGTTCTTGAAAAAGAGTTATTTATAGATCAGTAAGCTGAGAAAAACTCTATTTAGTAATAACATGCTGTCCAACAGACTTTTTTTAAGCGTGCACCCCAAGATGGAGTGAAATGTGGACAAGCAACATATGTATACTTAATTCAGGTGCATATCTAACTGGTCAAACACATACAAAATGTCAAAATGCAGGTCTTCAGTGTTAGTGAACTTTAGAGTAACTTTTGTAGCAATAATAATTATTCCATATTTAACTCATACAGTGAAAACTATGCAGTTCTGAACATATTATTTTAGTCAATTTTTGTAGTATTTCTTACTTTAACACTATTGTTAGCTAGACCTACCAGAGAAACTTCAAACAGTGTTTATTTTATTTGTTTGGGTTTTGTTTCTTTGTCCTTTTTTATTACTGTTTACTTATTGCTTTAATATCATTTATCCTGAAATAATATAAAATCAAAGAAAATAACAAACTCAAAAAATTCTCAACATTTTGGTCATATCACCCACCCCTGGTCATGCATGCTTCACGCAGCTCTATCTGAATTCAAAGCAACGTACAGTATACTACAAAACAGCATACGTCACTTCCTATTTTTGCCATGAAAAGATATGCCAGAAATTGTAAGGACAGTATGCTGTTCCGAGTGAATACTGCAATCTTGATCTAGTTTTGGTCTGGGTCTGGTCTTAAGTACACTTCTGTAGTGAGCTAACCTCACAGGGTTCATGTTTGTGGTTTAGTTTATCATTGACTCTCATGATTTGGTGTTGTACCGCCATTGCCTTTGGCTTTGATCTGTAACCAGGCGTCCCCCAGTGCTTTAGTGAAGTGGTCATCAACTGAGCCTGTGATGCTCACTGAGTTAGAGACCTTCCCCAGACTGCGGCGGAAATGCTCCTCAATCACAGGGTCACACACAGTGTTTGCTGATGAAGAGAAACCAAACAACGATCGTACTGTCATACCAGGCCCACATAGAATCTGTGCCACAGAACTCCAATACTAAATAAACAATGAACATTTTAGACACACTATTGCCAGTACTGTCACTTTTGTTCAATTTCACTCATGAAAATAGCTCCAAACAAAGCCACCGCAGAACCGTTATGCCTTTTCGACCAACCCATCGCAATGTTTTGTTGCTTAATTAATCCACATTTTAATGAATCTAAATAATTTCATTGTATCATTTACATTTTTTTTTTCAATATAATTCAATATAATTAAACCAAAAACATTAATGTCCATTTAAAACCTTAATCCCAAAATTCAATCTCACAGCATTATTTAAAAATGTAAGCTCAAATCATTATTTATGCAATTCGCTTGACAGCTCTGATTGTAACATTAACCTACATTTAAAAACAAGAATTACATTTCTCACAATAAAAATGTTATTTCAATTTTTTTTTAATTAAGTCATTTAAAAGTGTTTTAAAGGGGTCATATGATGTTGCCAAAAAGAACATTATTTGGTGTATTTGGTGTAATGAAATGTGTTTATGCGGTTTAAGGTTAAAAAAACACATTATTTTCCACATACTGTACATTATTGTTTCTCCTCTATGCCCCCTCTTTCTGAAACACGTCGATTTTTACAAAGCTCATCGGTCTGAAAAGCGAGGTGTGCTGTGATTGGCCAGCTATCCAGTGCGTTGTGATTGGCCGAATACCTCAAGCATGTGACGGAAATGGTGTTGTAAATACAACTTAACCACTGATTTCTAGTCGTGTCTATTTTTGGAAGACCAAACAAAGTAGTTTCGCTTTCACAACGAAACAGTGTCACACACGGCGGGATAGAGTGAGCGGCTGCTGGCGGGCTTGAGAACGGCGTGGCCGGCGGATTCGAAGGAGCGTCCGGAGGGCTTGTGGCAACATCACAACGAAGCACAGCGTCTTCACGACATGGCAGCGGCAGCAACAACAATACTACAGCGAGAATAAAAGTTACGCCTTCTTTCTTTGCGTGAACATTTGGGCGGCGTTATGCAAATCTTCCCACATAGTGAGGTAGACATGTGGAGCGTGTTAGAACGAGCCGTTTTAGGTAGGCGTGGCTGACTCTGAACTTTTATAAAGAATATCTCTTTGGATTTGAGACTTTAGTCTTTGCAACTTTACAGATCTTCTTTATGCACCGAGAGCTTGTAACACTCCAAAGAGAAAGGACAAATTTAAATCGCATCATATGACCCCTTTAAATAAATCTGCCATAGCAATTAAAATATCCTATCAATCTCTTTAACCAACCCTTCTGATAACCAGTTATGTGCCAGTCACTTATTCAGACTCAAAACACAACCGAGTACACACTTCTGATACTTGAAAGGTGCTAGATGAAATACCTTTGGTCTTGTTGGTGGATCCAGATGTGCAGCTTTTAGGGGACATGTGGCAACTGGAGAGACTGCAAGGGTGGTTGCTGGCAGGGGCACAGGTGATTACCGATGGACGATTCTGATATTAAAGGAATGTTACTTTTTTGTTTTGTTTTGTTTGGAAATATGACAATTCTACACATTTATCAACACATCCTGTAACAGTGAAGCCACTGATGTAGAATCAATGCTTTAAAGTCTGACCTGCTGGTGTTTTGTGCTGGATCCAGGAATACGAAGCACGCTCCTAGTAGGATCCAAGCTGTGTTTGGTCATCTCAAGGGGTTGATCCACCGCAAAAATGGGGAAAGGTGCAAATACATGATGGTTATGAAGACCACTCAGAGATGTGTGACCATAACTATAATTGCATAACTCCTGGTTTTCAGTGTCTCCATTCGAATTTCTCCTAATAACACACAAGAAACAAACATGCATGCTGTGCAAAAAACTGTCAACTGATCGAACAATTCAAAAACATGGGAAGCTTTGCTGCACTGCAAATAACAGAGCTGTAGCAGACATACAGATGGGATCCCAATAAGCATCTCATTTTGTTCATCTGTTCTTCATCCGAGTCTTTTTGATGATTCAGCGAGTGTTCATGGTGTTTTCTCTTGGTTGGGCTCATGGGAGCACACCCTGAGTTAAGCACAGGGGCCCTAGATGCTCCAGAATCACCTGCCAAGAAATCAGAGTCAGATCAAGCCACAGCCATTGCTAATAATGCTTAACAAAGACAGAAGTTCATCATATCAGTGAAAGCTTTAATTGGTAATATGCAAGCATTTCATTACAAATCTCATACTCCAACAGCAAGTCGCATATTTCATACAGTGCTATTACATATCAGTGCTCCACATCTATTCATTTATTCTTATATTGATTAAAATACAATTCATACATACAATGACTACGATATGCACCCCTTTTTTATGCAAACATGTATTTTTTTATATAATACATTTTGATATTTTGGGGGGGCATAAAGTCCTGATTTAATAATGAAGAACAAAGCTTCATTAAAAGGTTAACTTTAAAATATCAGATAATTTGACTTTATGACATATCAAGATTAGCTCAGGCTGAACATTTTACATAAATGTATGAATTATTCATATATTTGTAAAAAATAAAATAAAAAAAAAACATTTAATGCTGAACAATATATTATAAAACATTTATTAAAATGACGACTGATACATGTACACTTACATGTATTTAATGTGCAAGAAAATGTGACCTTTTACTAGTTAATAAATGTAAAAGACCATATGAAACCAATATGAACGTAAACTTACATTTCTAAGAAACTGGCATATAGATGCAAGTTATTTTATGAATAGAAGCCTGTCCATTACTGTCCACCATGGTACTGAATGATTATTATAAGCATTAATGTTTAAGTGATCACTGGATGACATTCACATGATATTACTTCAGAAACTCAGTGTTGAATATGTATTGTGTTCATCTGAATGCAGTAACTTACCCTCATGTGCATTACACTGCAGCCTGCTGATGCTATCGTTCCTTTTGTTGTTGGTGAAATTATTCATCAAGATATCCATTTTAACACCCACGCTTACATTTAAAGCAGAAATGTAATCGGTTAATCCAGCTCGGCTGTTAGTAACGGTATGAAATATGGTATTTCAGAAGGGGAAACTTACGCAAACTTACAACAATAGCTGATAGTAAGATGTGGAAATAAAACATGTAAAAGTGTGCGTTGTTTTTAGCATACTGAGCTATTTAGCTGTTAGCTCGGGCTGCAGGTTAGATGCTAACCTGTGCGTCTACGGTTTACTTTAGTGACTTAAATCCAAAATGCCGACTCATACTCGCCAAGCACGACCTGTTGTTTGTATTAACGGTAAATAAAGCAGGTGAGGACTAGATGTTGTGTTACAATGGTGAAAAGTGAGTATAATGCTAACGCTGCTCGACAGAAGCTCGTGTTTCCGCATGCAAAAAAAAACTGTAGATTTAATTTTTCCACAAACACTCAATATTTACTTATACTATTTCTCACAAGTCGTGGTTCATTTGTCTATATTTGGAGTTATATCTTACACAATTTCAATGAAAATATTTCAAATAGTTACGTAGTCATGAAAAACGCCTGCCATTGGCCCATTCTGAGAAGCGCCGAAAACAGTGGCACGTACCACGTGACAACGCCTTCTCTCCGCCCCCTGCGTCTTGTGTCCGCACACAGACTGTATACACCACGAGAGGGTGCTCGCTGCAGAGCCAAGTGGGCGGGGCTAGACCTCCAGCTCCCCCTCGCTGGATCTAGTGGGCGGGGCTTGAGACATCATTGGTCCTGATGCACCGCCGCGCGAGTGCATCTGGAGTAGAGTAGAGTAGAGTAGAGTAGAGTAGAGTAGAGTAGAGTAGAGTAGAGTTGGCACTGATGTGCAACTGTATCGCACGGTAAGAAAACTGTGCTTTAAAGATAAACTGAACTTTGAGACGTATATAAAATCTAAATCTTACATTTATCGCGGTCTCGACATGACTATTAATGTTATTGTTATGTTTTGACCCCCTGAAACATGAATCGGTAACGTTAGTTTTTTCGCGTAACTATCGTTATTTAATAAGTGCTAGCATTTTCCCATCCTCTTGCTACATTGGAGCACGTGTAGTGTTTTTATTTACTCATAGTTTTTATTTAATTTAATTTCAGTATTTGTGTAACCTGCACAGATGCCTCAGACAGTACTTTTGCGAGGACAGGATCCCCTGCTGTCTATCCAGAGATGCACAGTGTGCTGCCAAAAATACCACTGTGCCTCCTGTAAATCTGTGTATAACATTTACATGAGCGCCGAAATCATGCAGCTGATCACATGCGACATGCAGTTCAAGAAGAAGGTGTGTGTGTGTGTGTGTGTGTGTGTGTGTTTTCCCTCCATAGAGTGAAGGCAGTGGGCTGACTTGACAATGTTTACAGCTATTTTTCATTGTATGGGCAAAACAATTGAAATATTCTTCAAAATATCTTGTTTTGTGTTTCACAGATACTGTGATAAAGATACTGCTTTTCAACTATGTGAGGATAGAATATTAATTTTCTATCTTTTTAAAATGCTGCCGCCTCCTAAGATGCTTTGCTTTTTCCCAAATTCTGTGAAATAACTGGTTTTAATCAATATTCTTTCAGTTTGATTATTTTATCGTTATTCCTGTCTTCCATCAATGATTTACTATTTGCGCCATTAGCTTTGCCACATGCTAACATCAAACTCTATTGGAATCACCTGTGAATTGCTTTTGGTGTTGCTAATTGAGTTTCTGCCTATGTAGAGCATTCCATGTGTGCGTGCGTGTGTGTTTGTGTGTGTGTGTGTTTGTGTGCGTGTGTGTGCGTGCGTGTGTGTTTGTGTGTGTGTGTTTGTTTGTGTGTGTTTGTGTGTGTGTGTTTGTTTGTGTGTGTGTGTGCTTGTTTGTGTGTGTCTGTGTGTGAATGATTGTAATTATAGTACTGTGGGTGTGAGAATGCTTGTTGAATTGTAATGTTTTGCATGTCAGTCATTTCTTCCTAGCATTTTAAACTAAAAATATATTGTTCATTTAATATGTTCTTGTGTTGTGAAACCTTTAGGAAGTCTGAATTTCACATACTTTACTTAAGTTTTTTGTTGTTGTTGTTGTTGTTATAGTTTTTCTGCATTACATTACTTAATTTGGATCACTGTAAATCTGAAAAACAAGTATATAAAAACTCTTTACATGGCAATCAGCCATCTGTCAGGCATTTGTTCCAGCATGTAGTAGCATGTTCAGCTAATAGTTTCTAATCAGGGCTTTATTTGGTTGAATTACATGTGTTCTGTTTGGACAGAACAAAACCTTCACTCACACTGGCCTTAGTGTTTGGTGGGAGAGTGGTAAAAAATATAATAAAGGATCTTAATGTTGTTGTGCTCTTGAGCAAGGTGTTACGTCACAAAACCTCAGCATAGGCGATGCACTGTATTAAACATGTAAACAAGACAATTGTGCTAATTTATTCTTTTTACATTTTAGATTTTATCATCATCAAGTGTGGTTTAAAGTGCAGGCAATCACCACATTTCAAGCAGCAATCATTGCATCATTGTCAACAAAAAGAGTATGTGTCCGGCAGCAAGTCAGGGTGACTTGCACACACTGTGGCATTAAAATAAATCAATGGAACTTGCTGGTTCATATCAATCGAAGACACAGGCAAAGGGTAGCAGATATTACAGCATGATATTGCATCTATCATGCCAATGCATTGATGCCAAAAATGGCATCTTTGCTGTTGATAAGTCATTCTTTAAGCCATGCTCTCCTATACATGTTTAAAAAAAAAAACATGGGGTGCAAGCCATAAAATAGCCTGTGAATTGAATGAATGCAACACAAATGCTGAATTTGCAGAATCCAGGTGAGTGAGATCTGGTGAGATTGGTGAATGTGAACTGGTGTGAGCCGAGGAGGATTCTGGGATATGGAGTCCAGAGCTGGTGACAGATACTCCCTGACATTACCTCCCCCTCCCGGAAGGCGTGTCCTGCGCCATAACATACCAACGGGGAGGGGCTGGAGCCGAAACTGGAGCGAGCTCTGGGGCTAGAGCCGACACTGGAGCGAGCTCTGGGGCTGGAGCCGACACTGGAACGAGCTCTGGGGCTGGAGCCCTTCCCGGGCTGAACTGGGGATCAGGAGCCCTTCCCGGGCTAAACGAGGAATCAGGAGCCCTTTCCGGGCTGAACTGGGGATCAGGAGCCCGTCCCGGGCTTAACGTGAAAACAGGAGCCCTTCCCGGGCTGAACTGGGGATCAAGAGGCATTCCGAGGCTCGACAGGGGATCGGGAACCCTAAACTAGGCTCGACAGGGGATCGGGAGCCCTTCCTAGGCTCGACAGGGGATCGGGAGCCCTTCCGAGGCTCGACAGGGGATCGGGAGCCCTTCCGAGGCTCGACAGGGGATCGGGAGCCATTCCAAGGCTTGATGGGATCAAGGCAGCGCTCACGGGGTGCTGGCACTGGAGGAGCAGGCACAGCAAAGTGCTTTGGAGGAGCTGGCATTGGAGTGAGTTTCACGCTGGGCAGGCTTGCCATATTATCTGTCGGCTGACTTGACTTGGGAACTGCCGGCGTTCCTGGGCTGAGGACGAGGGTGGAGCTTTGGAGGATACCGGGGTATTTGGGGTTGAACTTCATATGTGGATCCTGAAATCCATAATGCAAAGTTCAGGTATTGTGCAAATGACCAGCTGGGATCTCCTCGTGGCATTACAAATTGGATCCCCATATCCAGCCCAACCCTGAATCCATCCATCAAAGTGAGGTCACTGCAGGTGGCTTGGTGGCAGGTGTCTGTAAACTCCTCCACATAGTCCTCTAGACACCTGCCATCCTGGAAGATAAAAACAGTACCTGTTGTTGTTTTGTTTTCTTTTTCTACAGGCACAGCTGCACAGATACCAACTGAAGCAGAGGAAACAATACAATCCAGTGAGTGACAGAAAATGAAGTAAAAAGCAATAATACATCTGAATTTAACAGTATGGATCTTCTTTATCTTGGGAAATATTTTATGATACGTCATGTTTTCTACTGCTCCTGTTTTCACATCAGGAGTTTAGATCAAGAAATTGTTTTGTTTTTTTACTTGTGATTGTACACTACTTTTCTGACTTTCTTCAGCTATAAACAAGCTTTACTAAGACCATAAAAATTAGGGATGTAACGATTCACTCAACTAATGATTCGATTCGATTCACGATTTTGATTTCACGATTCGATTCGATTCATGATTATTATTATTTTTTTAACAAAATGAGATTTAAGACTAATTATAAATTAAGTGTGTCCTTTTATTATTGCTTGGACAAAATGCTGCACATTTCTTTGTGAAATTGAAATATAACACTATAATAATATACTAATATAGCACTTGTATATTATTGCTCTTTTGTTGGTTTTGATTGCTTCTTTTGTCCTCATTTGTAAGTCGCTTTGGATAAAAGCATCTGCTAAATGACAACATTTAAATATAATGTAAATGTAAATAACAAAACTCCATTGAAATTTTAAAACAAGCCCCAAATCAAATAAATAAGTAACACAAATAAATTAAATCTCTTCATATAAACAAAATAAGGCTTTGTCTGTGCTCTTTCCATCTAAAATTAGAGCCAACCACTGCATCAACAAAGATGCTGCATACATGCAACATGAGCAGTTTTTAAACTAAATTAGATTGTATCATTTCGAAATTTGAAGCAAACACAGAATGTTGGTTTGACTTCAGTTTTATGAAACCATGCATAAAAATATCTGCAGAAACCGAAACAGCAGACGAGCTGAACGAGATGCAGGTGCACTCTCTGCCAGCAGGTGGTGCTTAAAGCGTTTCCTGGTTTCCGCTGTAAACAAAGCAGCGCTGCACTTATGAACTTTAATATGCATTATACAGAGACAAGAGGAAAAGAAGAAATACCATCTAAACTTTTCTAAAGACAGTAAGTTCCCCTCAGACATGCATTCATATAAACTCCTACACCTAAATGAATCGTGATTTGTTTAGCATCTCAACCGATTTGAATCGTCACATATTAATCATTTTCAACCGGCTCGCGGTTAATCGTTACATCCCTAATAAAAATTCATTTACAAATATGGATCTTCTCTTAAGACTGTCCTAGCCCATCTGACCTAGTTCAAATTGTAACGACAAGCCAGACAGATGAACAAGCAGGCAGTAGGATATGGGATGTTTACTATCTCCCAGCACAACAGAATTTGGTCATTTATTCATATTGCAATGATTGTCATAAATATTATTATCTGCATTACTGTTCATATTTGTATGTTCTATTGAGTTATATAACAATGTTTATTTCATTTTATCAGCTGGCTTATGTCTTGGATAGAGCCAAAGATCCAAGTGAGGATTTACTTCAGCTGAGCCCAGCCCAAACATTAAAGAGAAGTGACTTTTGGTCTTTGGCCTTTGATGAGTTAGAGGCAACGGTAAATGTCCATTCATAGGCATTATTTTGCTGTTGACATAGGGTTGATATGACTGCAACTTTACTTTTTTTTTTTACCAGATTGCTAAGCAGTGCTTTCAGCTCATTGCTGCACTTGCAGCTTCACAGGTCAGTTTGATAGCTTTTGTTGTGTTTAGTAACAGCGAGGAGGAATTGATGGTGGGGTATTCATG